TTCTCTCTTTTGTTGTTGGATTAATTAACATGAATGGCAGACAGCAGGAATATTAGACTGCTGCCAATTTAAGAGCTGCCCGGATCCAATATACTGACAACCACATTTTTTCTTTCTGAGCCGTTTTGCTTTCACTTAAGACCTAAATTACTTTGTTTACGAGGATACTTGCAAAGACAGGAATTTTGAAACATACAAGTGTGTGTATTCAACCGTTCAAGACGACAAAAATAAAAATGCTCCTGCACTCTATGAGAACCGTCATCACATGCGCATGCCTCTCTGAACAGCGCTCAGAAACAGTTTCTCAGGCAGTGCGCACATAGCGAAAAGAGTTCTCTTTTGCTGCTGATTGCATTTCAACAACTTAAAATCACTTGCAATGCTTAAAAGCGTGTGCAAACAATACGTTTTTGTGACTACGTAGCACAGCAACATCAAGTGAGCATGTAACCGCGATAGAGACGAGTCCAAAAATTTCTAACGGTTGACAAATTTCTACCGGTATACCACCCCTAGTAATATGTATCCTTAAGGTACTAGTATGCAGCTTTTAGGGCTAGATAAGTTATTCCTATAAAGGTACTGGCCAGTGACAATGTGTTGTACCCCTAATGGTACATTTTTTGCACTTTAAATTTTTTTTTAACAATATACCTTTTTTGTATATGATTCAACTGCATGAATTTGGTTGTTGGTCAGTGTCACCTTACAGTACATGTTACTGTGGATTTCCTTTTTATGTAGCTTGACAAATATTAATTTCATTCTTTGTGTGAACAGAAGTTGTTTGCAAATTGTTCCATAATTGTTGTGAAAGGTCCTAGGCACAACATGCATCCATTAGTATAAAACAAAAAAAGCTTTAAAAAGATTGCACTCTAACCTCCAGTGATTGTAGCCTCTACTTCAGGAGGGTAAAACAGAAATTCTTTGGATGAAGGTGTGACTGTGATCTTCTCCCCAGCCCTAAAATAGCCAACAGAGCCAAGATATAAAATTAAGACTATGAAATTTGTAACTGGTAGGAGAATACAATGTGATATATGTTCTTTGCACATGATTTCACAATATTTTTTCTAACACAGGCAGAAGAGGAAAATGCTGGCAAACATTCTCCAAAATCATACCGTGCCCAGTAGGAGAATTCATAGTGGAAAGGCTCATGGAGTTCATCTGGTTTCTCTTCCACAGGGGGGCTGTTCTCGTCGCCTCTTTCTTCCCTCTCCTTCTTACGGGCAGCTATTTCCAGAAGCTGCAGCTCCCATCGCTGCTCCTCGTTTGAGCGCAGGGGCCCCAGAACCAAAGCAGGCTCACTCTCAATGGAAGATCTGCCAAAATTAAACAAAGCCACCAGGTGTATTGAAAGCAACAGCCAGAACTCAAACAAACAAGACAGACTTTACTCTTTTAGACACACATAATAACAATTCCCTCACTCACTTGATGGTGACAGTGACATCCAGCATCTTATCAGTGGTGATGAGTCCTGTCATGTGGTGTCTCACAGCAGTTAGGGTTAAGATGCTTGGGGCAGACCTGAGGAACAAGGATGAAAAACAACAACGTGGATTAGACTTCATTTAATAATGTTACACAACAAGCACATACTGCAAAAGCACAGGATCAAAAGGGAGAAAGCTGCGGCAGCTACTTTGATTTTAATATAATGCTTGGCACAGGCAGTCACATACGTGTTGTAGGTGTAGTAATCTTGTTCAAACTGGTGACAGGAACGTGGAGTCACTTTATAAACACCTTAGATTAAAAATAAATTTGTTAAGAACTTTAAGCTTTATGAACATACTGAACTTACAAAACTGAAGGAAAAGCTGAGCTCACCTGGCTTGGACAGACAGAAGCGATTGACTCCTTTGGACAGATTGTAAATGCCAACATTCTCTGGTGAGCTGCCATCTTGGAAAAATTCCTAAAATTATGGATAAATAATGCATCATCATCAGTATTACCATTTTAGGCTTGTAACAGCTGATTTTGGCAACTATGTGATCACTCATCTTTAAATATTTAAATGTTTTCAGTCCTCACCAGGGTAATGGCATGGGACAGTGAACAGCGCAGCAAGTATCCGGTTTGTCTGAACTCCACTCCCTCTATGTACGAGTCAAGTACATCGATCTCCACTGACTTGTGCTTCCAGCACCACTCCTCTTGGGTGATAGACACTGTGACAACCAGAGGTTGTTAATTTTTCGTGAACTTAATGTCTACACTGCTGAAATCCTGCACAATTTAGCTCAAAAATAATAATACGCTTAGTTTATCATATATAGCAATTCAATAAACTTTCAAAATTATAAGAAACAAATCATGTTAAATAGGATGAAAACCTATATTAGTTATCATTCTGATATTTTTCTAGTTATAAATAACCAAAACATATGACTGTACTATAAAATTCAAATTAAATAATAATGATGATGATGATAATAATAATAATGATTTATTTTACTATACAATAGCAATGTATTTGATTCTTTACTTTCTCACTTTTTTTATTTTGATTAATTGCATAATGTCTATTTGTTTAGTACCTACCCAAAGGTCATCTATCATAATTTACCATAGATTTTTGGGTAATATAAAAAAAAAAAAGAAATAGAAGAAGAAGAAGGAAAAAAAAGAAAACGCAAACAACAACAAAACTCAAAAACAAATGCTGACTTTTTTTTACTACCGTTCAAAGGTTTGCGGTTTTCAGTCTTCAGTGTCACATTATCCTTCAGAAATCATTCTAATTTGCTGATTTGGTGCTCAAGGAACATCTCTAATTATTATTTATCACAGTTGAAAACGGTTGCGCTGCTTAATATTTTTGTGGAAACCTTGATACTTTTTTGCAGGATTCTTTGGTGAATAGAAAGTAAAAATGAACAGGATTATTTAAAATAATTTTTTTGTAAAATTTCATTTTGTAAAATAATGCTAAACTATTTAATGCCACTTTTCATCAATTTAATTTATCCTTGCTGAATAAAAATATACAGTTCTTGAAAAAATCTTACTGACCAAAAATTTTGAATGATAGTGTATCTATTTAATACCATAATTATAACCATCTCTATTGCTCATTACAATCAAAACATGTAAAAACATTGCTTACCTTTGTACTTTCCGGGTAACACATTATTGAAAGTGAAGCTGAGAGCTTCACTGCTGCCAGTCAACTGGAGGTTTTGCCTCTCTCCTTGTCTGCTCACAGGCTGAAGAGTGACTGTCAGATCTCCACATGCCACTGATGGGACAATTCAATCATTGAGGCAAAGACAGAAAGCACATTTATCTAATTGAATTTGACAGCGGACATGAAAAATCAGCTCACCAAGACAGGACACAGAGCCAGAAACAGATGCTATGAACTGAGTGAAGAGAAGGTCGGTGATAGGACGATCCACAAGTGAGATATCGAGAGAGTATGGCTGAAGAGCAAGTCCAGCCTTCACATCACTTTCAGGGAGGGTCACCTGTACAGCGCACAACGTATCTAAATTAATGTGCTGTGCAATTCACTCTAACTTTAAAGTCAAGGCACAACATATATTCTCATTACCTGTATGCTGTAGTCTCCTGGTTTAACTTGAAAGCAGAACGCTCCATGGCAGTCACTTTCGACAGTGCGGAAAAAGCCCTGATCCTGTCTCCGAGTCGAGAGCGTAACTCTGTAGTGCCCAAGCTGTTTAACAGTCTCAGGAAGAAGGATGACTGAGATGTGACCACACACGCTAAACCTGAGAATAACAATGGAGCAGAGATGTTAAATCGAACCCCTAATGCTAGACGACTGACACCTCAAGTCTACGTTTATCTTCTAAAAAACAGCTTTCTGAGGACAATTCTTGCCTGCATACTCACCCTGCAGTGATGATGTCTGGCAGCTGAGGAGTGCTGGGAGCAATCTTCACAGTGACCGGCTCAAAGAACATCAGCTCCTTGTTTGTGTTGATGGTATAAGTGCCTGTAGTCATATTCTCCAATCGGAATGAACCATCTTCTTTAGTTTCCACTGTGAAAGAGATCAAGGAGGAGGCAAAATATGAATGCAATGTGTTAATTTAGCATACATTTATTAATTAAGCATGAATTGTGCAGTACTTTGGATATACCCTAATATGCCTAATTATGTTAATTTCACTTAAGTGTATCATCACAGTTACCTTTAATTTGGTTGTTAAGCGTTACTACGGCATCTGCAACACCCTCTCCATTGGGGCTATTCAGAACTCTGCCCATCACAGAGAATCCCATGACACGGAATATTGGCTGAGAGACAAAACAGGTTAGAAACCAGGTTAGGCTGCTGAGCAAGACCAACTGTTTTGTACATTATTTATTTATTTAATCCTAATAACGATTTAATGTCCATTTAAACACTTCATGTAAATCGTTTAATCACCACAGTGTCTTGTCTCCATTGGCAACACGCACCATTTGTGTCGATTGCAAGTGACGACGCAGGTATCGGAGAGTGCAAGTGGCGATTGCAAGTGACACCGTAATTTAGTTTCTTTAGTTTCTAGTGAGTCTGAAGACCTTGATTAATTTGCTTCATGTTTGTTTGATTAGGGTTGGAGCTAAACTCTGCAGGAAAGTGGATCTCGCGAGCCAGATTTGAGGATCACTGATGTAAATTATAATACTGTCCAACCCTAATTGTCAATTTAGGTGTCAAGTCATGTTTCCAAATCTGTGAGAACAAGTCAGAGAATTGAAAAACTCACCTCCAATGTTAAACTGCTGTGTTCTACTTTGAAATCCATACGAGAAGGATCAACGTCAAAAGTGATTCTCTCTCCTCTGTAATATGGGACCTACAATTCAAGAAGAGACAAGCTAAAAATGACTGACATCTGTGCTTTATCTTTGCATTATAAATAAGGCTGCATGAGATGGATGAAATTATATTCAAATTATTTCAATTGAAAGTAGCTCCAGAAAGTAATCAAATACTTATCAGAAGTCTTACAGGCATATTAGATTTGTCACCAAAAACATTCCACAGTGGTTGAGCTCTGTGAAGGAACAAAAATAGTGAACCAAGTTTTTTTTAGAACAAAACTGCATCTACATTTAAATGAGATGCTTTGACATAAATGTTATATGTGAACTAGCAAAACTGGAGTGGCATGAAAATCTTTCTTCAGGTGTTGACATATTCGTCATTGAGAAATATGTTTTGTCAATAAGACAGTTTGTACTATATACATGTTCAAGGGTCCATGAGGCATGAGTGGCGGTGATGTCATAACTTCCTGGAAGCACCTTGAGGAAAGTATACCTGTGAAAAACAACACAAACAGGGCAAAATGTTTTCATGTTTAACTGTTAATGGTATTTATGGACAATGAATATTATTTTGAAGTGATAGACCCTTGGAGTAAGATGGCCCCCTCAAATTAGGGTTGGATATTGTTGCTGGTGTTCTTATTGTTAAATTGAATAATTATTATAATTCATGGAAAATGTAATTTAGGTTAAATTAGGTTTAATTTCAGGAATAGCTGCAAATTATAATACATAATATTATTCAAAAATGATTTATCATAACCAGTAGACCAGTGGAATAATGCCATTCAATCTGAATTTATAGTTTATAGGCATTATGACCCCCCCCCACCCTCGAGAATTTGACATGTGACCAATAAAGGATCTACACATTACAGATTGACCTCTTGTTGAATTTTTTTATTTTTATTTTTTTTAAAGACTCCACATTGTGTGATTTTGCTGCAGTCAGTGTCCGAAGAAATTTTGCATGCTCAAATTCTAGTTTGACCACTAGACAATATCTACTCACTGGCCTCCAGCTTGTGTGAGGACACTTTGAAGGACATCATCTTCTCCTACTTTTCTCAAACTTACTTCAACCCCTGCAGGCCCCAACAAATCCCCTTTACTCAAGACCTAAATGAGAAAAAGAAAATGAGCAGGGTTTTTTTTTACCTTACAAAAAACTGTATTACAAAGTCAAATGCATAAAATTTCAACTAACAGTTCCCAAGACTGAAAACCCAGTAAAAATGAAGTTGATGTCTTGTTCTTTAGTGCAGATGTCTGTAATTCCATCCACATGTAGGTCCACAGTTGTTGGCTCTGCATACAGATAAAGTATAACACAATACATGACTAGGTGAATAGTGAGTCCATCTTAGAGAACTTTAGGTTACTCATGTAACCCCGGTTCTCTGATAACATGAGTGAGGTATCTCACTATGGGAATCGCCTCGGGCGTGACCAATCCTGGAAGCACCAATTACACCACGTCTGTCAGTTGACAGACCAATCACGACAGTGATGCGGGAGTCCCTCCTCCCTATATATATCACTGCATAATGGTCCCTACCTCATTCTCCGCATATCTCTTCCCCGTGCTGCTGCAAGGAGGGAAGTGTGGTGAGATACCTCACTCATGTTATCAGAGAACCGGGGTAACCAGAGTAACCTAAAGTTCTCTTTCAAACATTCGTTCGGTATCTCACTATGGGATATAGACAACTCCCGTATTGCAGATATGCTGTCTGAAGCAGGCATGTCAACCAACTCAGTGATGTGTGATAGCATAAAAATGAAAACCCTCCACTATTCACAGAATAGGACTGGGCCTTTTTTTTAATTTTTTTTATTATTTTTTTTTTTTACACACTTAGAATGAGCCAACGATGGCTCTGTAACATCCAGCCTATAAAATCTGACAAACGTGTGTGGCGATGCCCAGCTCGCCGCCGCACAAATGTCTTGAATTGAAACGCCCTTAAACAACGCCCACGAGGTGGCCACGCCTCGGGTACTATGAGCCCTCAGCCCCTCGGAGGACTAAGACCCATGCTATTGTAACCCAATATAATAGCTTCCACTACCCAGTGGGACAGGCGCTGATGAGAAATAGGTTTACCCTTATGAGAATCAGCCCATGAAACAAATAACTGATTACTCTTCCACAGCGCTTTCGTTCTGTTTACATAGCAACGCAACGCATGGACAGGGCACAAACAGTGAAGCCGCTCTTCTTCTGGTGACGAAAAGGGCGGCGGATGAAAAGCCAATAAATCTACTTGATTACAGGCTAGAGCTGACTCGCTCACTTTAGGCACGAACGCTGGATTAGTTTTGAGAGACACTCTCGAGTAATCCATAGCGAACTGCATACAGGAGTTATGAATCGACAAAGCATGAAGTTCACTAACCCGCTTAGCAGATGAAAGAGCCAGTAATAATGCGGTCTTTAGGGAAAGGAGCTTCAGATCGCTGCTGTCTATAGGTTCAAAAGGTGTACGGGATAGTGCGTTAAGGACCACAGACAGATCCCACGGCGGAATCAGTGGTTTTGACACCCTTTTCAAACGCCGCGCACCCCTCATAAACTTGCATACCAGCGGGTATCGACCCATAGTGTTATTGTCAATCCCCACATGACACGCAGAAATCGCTGCGAGATACACCTTAACGGTAGAAAAAGCTCTGCCTTTATTCAAAAGTTCTTGCAAAAAACATAACACATCTGCGACAGAGCAGAGAAATGGAACAATGTGCTTATGTGCGCACCATTGCTCGAAAACATTCCATTTCCTATCGTAAGCAGAGCGCGTCGAGGCAGCCCTCGCGTTCTGAATTGTCTTGATCACCCTCGGAGGCAACCCAGTAGCATTTAAGTTTAACCTCTCACGGGCCAAGCCCAAAGAGCAACTTTGTCTGGGGCAGGGTGAAAAATCTCCCCGCGCGCTTGTGAGAGGAGGTCTCTGCACAGCGGGAGAGGCCAGGGCTGGTCGCATAGGAGCTGCACTATCTCTGTCAGCCACAATTTCCCCGGCCAGTTCAGGGCAATCAATATGACTGAGTGACCGCACTCCCTTACCCTTCTTAGAGTTGGTACGATCAGACTTAGCGGAGGAAACGCGTAAAGCAGTACGTTTGGCCATGGGTGCGCTAGGGCATCCACACCCATAGGCGCACCGTCCCTCGCTAGCGAGAAGAACAGAGGGCAGTGAGTGTTTCCGTGCGATGCGAAGAGATCTACGGCAGCACGGCCGAATCTTCTCCACAACTGGCCAACTACCTGAGGGAGAAGTGTCCATTCTCCATACCGAGGATTTCCCTTGGACAGGAGATCCGCCCCCGCATTCATTATTCCCGGGACGTGCGTTGCCCGTAATGAATGAAAATGTTTCCTGCCCCACACAATCAGTTTCTGTGCCAGACTGTGAAGCTGAGGAGAGCGTGTACCCCCTTGGCGATTTATATATGCCACCGTGGTCGTGTTGTCTGATCTGATCAGAACATGGTGGTTCCGCAGAAACTGCACAAAATGTTTCACAGCTAGAAACACTGTTAACAGTTCTAGGTAATTTGTGTGCATGCTCTGCAGCGAGACGGGCCATTTCCCTTTCGCTATTCTGCCCTCGCACACTGCACCCCAACCTGAAAGCGACGCGTACGTCGTTACCACCTTCCTCATGGAAACTGCACCCAGCGGAGTCCCTGATTCGAGGAACGAGCGGTTTCTCCAATGACGGAGAGCACGCATGCAAAGTGGTGACACCATCACTCTGCGGTTGAGGTGGCGTTTTGGACATAAGTGTTGTGCCGCTGTTCAATTCTGAAACTCTCTCATTCACAACAGTCCTAAAGGAACAACCGAGACTGTCGAGGCCATCAGCCCTAGAAGGCGTAAACACAGTCTGAATGGGACCTTGTTCCCTTTTTGAAAAAGGGATAGACAGCTGCGAACTGACCTGATGCGCTCCTCTGACAGAAACGCTTGATACCGATCTGAGTTCAGTCTGAGGCCTAGATAGACTATCTCCTGTGTGGGCACCAGGCAGCTTTTTGTCTCGTTTATCTTGAAGCCTAAGCTCTCCAAATGAGACACAAGCATCTTCGTGTCTGTCTCCGCTTGCTGCTGTGACGGAGCGCAGAGGAGTAGATCATCCAAATAAGCTGACACTCTGAGACCCGCTGTTCTCAGCGGTGATAGAGCCGCTTCTTTACACTTGCTGAACGTTCGTGGAGCTAATGAGAGCCCGAAAGGAACAGTCGTAAACTCGTAGGCTGTGCCCTGACAGGCAAACTTGAGGAATTTCCTGTGTGCCGGGTAGATGACTATATGGAAATATGCGTCTTCCAGATCGACTGAGGTGAACCAGTCTTTCTCGTGAATAAAATGTGACAGCACTTTGAATGTGGGCATTTTGAACTTGTATTTTCTGAGGTGTTTGTTGAGGTTCCGCAAATCCAGAATGGGACGGAGACCTCCCCCTCTCTTGGGAATTACAAAGTACCGGGAGTAAAAGCCGTTTTGGCTGTCCTCCGACGGTACAATTTGAATTGCTATTTTCCTTATTAAAGAGGCTATTTCTTCCTCTAAAACTTGAGCTGACTCCCCTTCTGCGGCTGACATCAACACACTGTTGAACGCCGGTGGTTTTACAGCAAACTGCAGACGATAACCCTTCAGTATTGTAGATAAAACCCAGGGGTGTATTGCACATGCGCGCCAGCTCTCCGCGTGAGCAGAGCTAATGGTGCGGTCGCGCCATCTAGCGGGGGAGCTGGGGATTGCAGCTCTGAATTGAGTAATTTTGGTTTTGTGTGTGTTTTTATTGTCAAACCCTGCTGTGCCCTCGGCCCACTGCCTGGATGCACAGGGAATTTTTTTTGTGAACTGTCCTCTGCCCATTCCGGCAACTCCGTGGGTGGAGGGGGGAGAACTTCTTTGTGGGGCACTGGGGGAACTGGTGCCAACTCCACACCTGAACTGGTCAAAAGATAACTTTTTGACATTTCCTTGAACAGTTCCCGAGTCCAACGCCTTCTTTTGGCGGGAGGGGGAGAAAATAACCACTCTTTTTGAGGGAGGATAACAACAGATACTCCACGAGTGCTGTTGCTCGTCCCGTCGTCCAGAACATGAGGACAGGTTAGGTTGCCCGGGGTTTCTTCCCTCCCTGAGGGTTCGCCGGTCTGTGTCTAGCTGCCGCTGCTGCAAAGGAAGGTTTTCCCCTTGGCTGTGCTGGTCTAGGTTGTGCCTCAGTCTGCTGAGGCTGGGGTGGTCTGGGGCTCCTGAAAGCCGGCTGACCACTTCTGAGGGGGGCATCAAAACCAGGGCGTGCTAATGGAGAAGCCTTAGGAATGGGTTTTCAGGGGAGGCAAGCTTGGAAAGCCTCACCCTCCTGCTTCCTCAGAACACACCGCTGGCGCATAGCAGTGACTGATGCTCCGAAAAGGGCTTTGGGCTCAACCGGGGCATCCAGGAAATCAGCTTTCTCTCTGTCAGATAGCCCTGAAAGTCCCAGCCAGAGAGCCCGCTCACCCACCACTGCCAAGCCCATGCTGCGGCCGCAGCTCTGGACTGCCCCCCTGGAGGTTCTCAGGTTGAGATCGGCAATAACGCAGATCTCTTCCCAGAGAGCTGGGTTTGGTGACCCAGCATCCATTTGTCTCCCCATCTCCTCCATGAGCTCTGCTTGATAAGCAGTGAGGAGCGAGGTAGCATTCAGAGCCCTCACTGCCAGAGCAGATGAACGATAGATTTTCTGAAAAACTAAGGCTGTTAAGCGCTCAGTACGTCCTGGCAGTGAAGCTGAGGCAGAAGAAAAAGCTGCTCTGCGATTAGGGTTAAGATGATGTGCCACTGACAGCTCAACAGGAGGGGGATTTGACATCCCTAGCTCCTCCATGTTGTGCACATCCAGTCTGGAAAACCCCTTCACAGGAACCCTGTGTGAAAAGGGTTTGTCCCAGAAACGTTTCATTTCTGAAACGCACGCGGGGACTGCAGGAATTACCGTTTTATCAACCGGGACACGCGACGGCAGTCGCTTGCTGTCATATAGGTCTCTCTCCTTTCCCTGGTCCGCCTGTTGCGACGGCCATTCAATAGAAAGTTTTGCAGCCGCCCTCCTGCACATTTCGATCAGGTCGAGCTCCACTTGAGCCGAGGCCGGGGACCCTTCACTTAACGCGCTTCCCGGACGGCAGGGCATCGGTGGTAGGATCGCGTCGTCATCATCATCCTCTCCGTCCTCCTCTAACAGGCGGGCGATCGCTTCGTCATCATCCTCCTCCTCTCTTCCCTCTGACAAGATCGGGAAAAGAGGGGGAAGTTCGGGAGAGACTTCATCCATAAACTCGCCCCAACTGCATGACATCTGACATGGTCGACGGAGAAAGGGAGGGGTCTCCTTTATTAGCAGCTGCCACCCGCACTCTTCTCTCCAGAACCCTTGATGGGAGAAGGGAACAGTGCGGACAGCACTCGGGGTTCACGAGTGCTGCTTGAGCATGTCTCACCCCCAGGCATACAATACATAGGGGATGAGAATCCCTGCTTGAAATACTTGCACAATCTTTCCCCGTCGCAGCCCCGCTTGCGGAACTAATAGTCGTGTCCATTCTTTATCAAGCCGCTAAGCTCACCACAACGTGTCGCTTAGAAAAAAGACATACCAGAGAATTAGTCGTAACACGTTAATTCTCTCGTTTGTCCTTAACAATAGTTTCCACCTTGACAGTGAAAAACACCCGCTCTCAGAAACAAACTGCGTTCGGCGACGTACCTTGACGGCTCGTCTAAGAACAGTTAAGCAGTTAAAAATAGACGGGGATGTCAATGATGAATTTTGCCCCAATTTACACCACCAGAGAAGGCTTGCAGCAATTTGCGAGTACTATGCCAATATGTGATTAGTTTAAACTCCCCTGGGAAATCTTCAAAATTTTGCAGATTAGAGCTATACAATATATCAAATGTCATAATATATATCACAAACGCACTAAGGGTTGTGATTTGCATTACAATTTGCTTTTAATACAGAAAGTTTATGTAGATGAAAACATCACAAAACAGCTAGAAACATTCATATTTGTTTTTATAGCATTTAACTTGTGCATTGTTTGGAGAAGAACCCTTAGATAGTTAGGACAAACTTGTGTAAAAGTGGAAAAACAGTCAAATAGAAAGCAGAATGCAAGCTTCACTGTCCTCATAAATTGCTTATATTGATGTTCTAGATATTTTGCACAAGTACATTGTAAATTAAGCCTGTTCTTCACCATCTGATTCCCATTAATGTACGATTATACTTGTTACAGAAGGTAATTTTTACAGGAAACATTCATGTTGGATGCATTATTATTTCATGGCTTAAAATTGTAAAGGGTATAATCTCTCTATATATTGTAGCCTTACCACAAGTAAAGCTACCTTAATGAGTGTTGAAATGTCTTCATAGAAAGTCACTTCCTTATGATTCAGAACAAATGCCACAAGACATTCTAAGATGACCTTGGATGTCTGACAGCCCATTCACTCCTGAGTTACAGTACCTTGTCATAGAGAGGGATCATGAAGTAACCATTGATTGGTGCACAGTCAGTCTGATATTTCAGAGAGCCCTGCTTAGTGTACAGCTTGATCTGTAAAGAACACACACATAGAAAACGTTGGTCATCATAAACCCATTTTAAACTGACTCTATAAAAATAGACCCAAATGAAACACGTAAAAACAATACGAACTACATGTATTGCTCGTCTAACTGTATGCAATTCATTTAGATAATGTCAGCGATTACTTTGAGTGAGGCAATGCTAATTAACTCAGGCAGATCTGTGCTAATAACAATATTAAGCATGCTTGGACAAATCATGTTTTGCTGACAATGCTTGACAGTTGGTTAGGTAGCTGTCATGCAACCTGCTACATTCACGACATACGGATCACCAGATTATGCGATCTACAACCTATATGCATAACTGTTTAGGACAGCAGAAGGTGTATATATCAGAGAATCAGTTCAGTTCTGATGTCCGGAACGGCATGCGCTTAATAATCATTTTTAAACCAGAACTCTCAAGTCTTCTTACCTCAATGACAGAGTAATTAATTTCCACATCTGACTTCACAAAGCCCCCGCAGCCTACCAAAATGTCATCAGTACCATTTACAGATGTCACACACAAGAAAGATAGAATAAGAATCGTTAGCTCCTTAATTCCACCCATCGTCAATTGAAGGGGGTCTGAATACTTTCCGTACCCACTGTACATCAGTGGCTACCAGCAACTGTTTGGTTGTCAACATCTTTCAAATGATTTGTGTGTGTGTTCAAAAGAAGAAAGAAATTCACACAGGTTTGGAACAGTATAAGGATGGATGAGTAAGCAATGACAATTTTTTTTTTTTTTTTTTTTTTTTTTTTTTGGTGTGAACCATCCCTTTAATCCCTTTACCAGTCATAATTATGTTATAGTATGTATTGTAAACAGCGTTAAATCTTTTTAATGGCAAAGAAGTTGATAAAAGATTTCAAGTTCTTTACATTAATTTTCTTCTCTCTAATCAGTGGTAGGCAACACATGGTGGCAGTGTTTAGCACTGAGTACTTCTCTTTGCGCAGCTGTCACAGATGCATGCTCCATTTATCTTCTGAATGCTCTGTGAAATCATAAATTAAAATGCAACCAAATGTGCTACCGTTACTGATATAACCTGACAAACAGCTGTTTTTGACAGTTTTCCTTTAATTGTGATCTAAAATGGAAAATGCATCCTTGTCACATACTATAGACAGTAACTAATTACACATAGAGAGCCATAATAATTTAATATTTAATGTAAGAATACAGTACAATTAACATGGTTTACTGTACACTATACATTAGTCACTAACATGACCTTTAGGTAATCTTGATAATGACAAATATCTGTATTTCAGAATGGTTTCATGTCTATAGTGTGCGATGAGTCTTTTTATGGTTCTGCAGTGATACTGAGTGAATAAGCTATTTTAATCTCCTTGAAGTGTTGAAAAACTACTACTATCAAGGAAAATAAACAGCACCCATGTGAGATTAAGAGACTTTATTGAAAATAAAAATAATATGAATATGAAAATGAAAACATTCTGTAAGTCAAACCATGAGTCATTCAGCAGCAAACATAGAAACCAACATTTCTTTGTGGGAAGTACTAGACTGTAGTCTGCATGGGTTTTTTTCTTGTTGTATTAAACAAGAAAAAAAAAGACTAAAATAAGAACATTAGTTTAATAAAAGTACAGTGTCACTCATTTTGGTGTTATAACTGGTTATATGAGGAGTCATACTGTATAGAAAGTCTGCCAAGATTGTTAAGACATTCAAAATTGCAATGCTTGTAAATTCATACCGTTATAGGGGTATGAATATACAAAAGTCACTGTGTCAATGGAGCACAATTAATTGTCTATTAGCCACTAGAAATTACAGAAACAGATACATATTAACTTACATGAACTCACTGGATTCCTATTAAGAACTCTTGCAATGCAGTAAAATGACATTTTATGTCACATAAATCATCACATAAAATCTTAAATATAAGTCAACACCAAAATGTATACATTAAATAATTATACATTACATTTTAACTCATCAAAGCCCATTTCTTTGATATAAATAATAAACATTCTGAACAGAGAACTTTTAACACAGAGCATATACAGTAGATATACAACTTGTGAATCCAACTCACAATGTAATGACTAGCTATTGAGACAAGTTTGAAAAGAAAACCTAAAGACCTTGAGCATGTGTTTTATACTGTAGGCTGTTGTTTCATCCATCTGGAACTGGGTGTACATTTGACAAGCTAAACAGCAAATGGCCTGTTAAAAAGTCACATCATTACATTCAAATCAACGTCTATTACTTGCTTCCTTACTGTATAATCACAGTTGAATTGCCAAAAAGTGTCGATTCTTCTGTGGTCCACTGATGAATTAGTTAATCTTACTTTTGTTTAGAGTCTAGACAATTTATGTCTGACACTTTCAGTTATTCACATTATTGCAGTGCACAACACAGCATTAAACAAAGATGTAAACAAAGTACATTGCTTCATAAAACTATTACAATTACTTGAAGCACAGTCAACATCAATAATGTTTAGCCAAGTAAAATGTCAAAAGTTAAACAATCAGGTCTTTTTTTGAAAGGCTTTAAAATCATTAAATCACACATGACAAGATCACCTGGTTTGTAATTGTACAAATGTTGAACAGACAATTGTTTCAGGACCAGAAGAAAAAAAATGGATATCGTGCGCTGTATGAAATATATTCTTTGTTACAAATTATAAACCAGCAACAAATCTACACAGGTGTGACCATAATTACAATTAACCGGAAATCAGATTTATCTGTTTCTAAAACTGTTTTACCACTTACTGAAGTAAAAGAAGCATATTTTAATACAATTTATTGCTCACATTACATGTATGATAACTTGAATACATTTTTAAAGTACTGCAAAATATTGAGAAAGCATTTAAATAAATAAGCGCAATGACAACTGCTAGACATTCAGCATGCTAAGTTTCTGTGCTAAAACTCAAAACTATATCTAATTAATAAGACAATGCATCATATTCTTGTACACAGACACAATTCCAAAATTACCTAAATACAGGTTGCTTATTAGAATACTTTTTACTGCAGAGACCTTCAATGTAGACAATAAATACAGTTTGCAGAGAGGCCCCTGTTTGGTGAAGCTATGTTTTGTTTTTTTGTTATTCTATGGAATTAATAAATTGAACTGGCTTAATTACACTAAATGTAGTTCAGCAATCCTGAGACACAAATGTCTGACTATATCAATTCCCAGGTTTTAAGAACACTGATGAGGCCAGAAAACTGTTTAAGACCAGAATATCTTAGATAAACAGAGCATAATGTGACTTCAGGAGGTTGTCATGGTTGAAGGGTCAGTCCACATGGCTGCCACATCTCTGAACCTGCAGAAAGAAGCAATATGTAAGCATGTACAACATAAGAGTCAATAGCTGGTTTTCCATCCAAAGTTGCGATTTTAACTTTAGCGCAAAATTGGAATATCGCATAAAACATTTGCGAATAAGCACCGTTTCCATCCAACAAGTCAAAGAGAACAAAATGATCACTTCCTGATAAACTGGCACTATATATCACTAAGAAAAGTAGAAGTCACAGAATATAATAATTTTCAAATATAATAAATTACTTCCGCCTCAGCTGTTTAAGACCAGAATATCTTAGATAAACAGAGCATAATGTGACTTCAGGAGGTTGTCATGGTTGAAGGGTCAGTCCACATGGCTGCCACATCTCTGAACCTGCAGAAAGAAGCAATATGTAAGCATGTACAACATAAGAGTCAATAGCTGGTTTTCCATCCAAAGTTGCGATTTTAACTTTAGCGCAAAATTGGAATATCGCATAAAACATTTGCGAATAAGCACCGTTTCCATCCAACAAGTCAAAGAGAACAAAATGATCACTTCCTGATAAACTGGCACTATATATCACTAAGAAAAGTAGAAGTCACAGAATATAATAATTTTCAAATATAATAAATTACTTCCGCCTCAGAGCGAGTAGACGAAACACAATAAATGGTCATTGCTTTCAGAGGTGGATGCCTGCTGTTTGGGAATGCAGTCGGGTAAGACAGTTCTGGGAGGCAATTATACTGAAATACTTTGATGACAGACTTTACTTGGGCATTTCAGAATGACCATAACAACATTTCAGATGCTAGGCAATGAGATCGGTCCGCTGGTTAGTCAGGTTTTGCCGTCCCATAGCGCAAAGTCTCATGACTTTTTTGATTGGCATTGAGGAATTTATTCGGCACATGCGTTTCAATCTCCCATTATTTGCATTAACCCTTTTTCAGACAAGTCAAAAACCACCTCATGCGAGCGTAAAAACTTTTTTGCAAATTAAGGGATTTTTATTCAAAATTTGGCGTTTCCATCACTCGTTTCTGATGCGATGCTTTAAAATGCACATAAAAGCAGGGTGATGGAAACATATCGACAAACAGTGTTCACGATAAAGAAACATTAGGCCAATTGAAAAAATTATATTTTACAATATTACTGTTTTGACTGTTTTTTTAATACTACATAAATTCATCCTTGGTGAACATAAGACTCTTCTGTTTCGTTTTTGGTATATATTTCATATTTTTTCCCTAAAAAAGTATTACAATTAAAATTGTTAGTTTAGCATTAAAATACATCTGTTTTTATTAGTTACATGTCATTGCATGCTTTGAATCTCACCTGGCATTTATGAGGTACTGTGCCAGGCTGATGTTGGCAGGCGTTCCTGTAATGGTGATCTGACGGTCTGATGACCCCTCCATGGCATTAGCAATTTTGATCTGAGCCCCAGACATTTGACGGATTTCATTAATTTTGGTGCCTTGACGTCCGATTATGCAGCCTATTAGCTGGAAACATACAGACAGATAGACGTCAGAATCAATGACTCTTCCTTAAATTCTTCTTTACAGTTGCCCAATGCATTAATGAAGACAAAGAATTATGCTCACATCATTTGGAATGGTGAGTTCATGAGTACTGGCCTGTGAACCAGCATCCACACCTAGAAACAGAAAGAGAGCCGAAGAACTGAGAAACAGAGAACATTTTTTCACAATATTAACCATGTTAAAACTGTACACTATAAAATGTATTGTAATTTTAATGGTAAAAGACTAAAAATGCTATGATAAAACATGTTAATTAGTTAACAGTAAGTTCCCTTATACTATATACAGAGAAAAACCTGTAATTAATGTATAGGGACATTTAATGTAATTGTAAATACTCTTAATAAGTAAAATATTGTTACTTATACTTTACAGTTTCTTATGCATAACCATTTGTTAAAAAAAAGTAAACTGACATTCCCAGAATTCCCTGTGTGATTCTTTATATTTGAATGATTTGCATTGAAATTAAAATTATACTTAGTTTTTTTTTATCAGTTAGGTACATTTATTTATTTATACTGAAAATTTAAGTTTAAAATGTAAGTTAGGTACATTATTATTATTATTATCATTATTATTATTATTTTGTAAAACTTAATATGCTGATTCTGGCAACCACAGCTTTTTAAAATAAATGTCCTATTTATAGTGTAGGACATTTCTTAATATTATGTCTTTGCCTGTTCATCTAAGGAATGTTTCTATCCATTTCTATACACTCTACAAAAGTTGTCGCTGGGGGGGTATCTTTTCAAAAGGTACTAATATGTACCACTTAGGTACTGATATGTACCTTTAAGGAACTAAAATGCAACCCATCCAGGGGGAGAAGAGTGAAAGACAAAAGTGAATGAAAGACCTACAGGTATATAGTGAAGGGTGTGTAGCGGGAGGGTTGGGTACGTACCAGGGAAAGCGGGGGTGGTCTGTCCGAGGGAGGTAAAGGGAGTTTGCTGCATAGCCAGCTGATGGAGCTTTGTCAACTGCTGGGGGAGGGAGGAGGGTCAGTACACCTAAGAAGTTATGACTGAATAAAGGCATCCTGCTTGGACCTTCACAAACTCATCTAGAAACTAACAAGGGGAAGCTGTGAGAAAAGCTCATATACAACTGTCTTTTATTAAAAACATAAAAATAAACCTATCTATCAGTTGTATGAATTTTAATAAAGCAGGTCATGAAAAAGAAAAAGCAAAGGTTAACAAGAATGCTACACTAAAGAGGGAAAAAGGATTAGAAGATACATTGTACTCACGTCTGGGTGTGGGATGGCATATTGTCCCTGAATGGTGTAGGCCTAAGATAGAGATGGACAGAATCTTCAATGTACATAATGGTCAATATCAATGTACACATAGAAGTATGTACATGAACTTGTTTTTTTTTTTAAATAATTGCTGTAATCATGTTTAATAATAATCAAATATTACATGTGGAATTTTTATATTTAGTTGTATTGAATATATATATTTTACCCCATTTTAATATGGATTTCTAAGGAGACCAGAACACGAAATCACCCAAACGGAAGTTAGAATCCTTCATGGCACCGCTCATCGGTTACTCAGGAAATAGGTGGATATATGGTGAAAAACTGTATTGGACATTACATTTACGGTAGTATACAGTTTTTGGAAGTGAAAAAGAATTTATAATTTACAGTGAATAACTGTAAATTGACATCTTCATGACACGGTGGGATTGTATTGGTTCCCCATAGTGTCTAGCGACGCAGTACGAGTGAAGTATCGAAAGGGAACATTCTCGGTTACTTACGTAACCTCGGTTCCCTGAGATACGGGAAAGAGTACTGCGTCTGCTAAGACGCTATGGGAAAAAGCCTTTTTCCCCTGAACTGAAGCCTTTTTTCAATCACGCAGTGAAACTGCACGGCCATTGGTTTATGCAGTGTACAAAAAATGAACCAATGGGTTGGCAGTGGAGCTGCACGAGCCTATGGCGACAAAGCCCGCCAGAGCCCGCCAGAATGGGCGGAGCCATCTGGCTATATAAGCGGGCGTTCGCCACAGGATTCTCAGGTTACTTCGACTGAAGCAACGACTGAGTCGTGCGGCTACATAGCACGGCTAGCAACGCAGTACTCGTTCCCGTATCTCAGGGAACCGAGGTTACGTAAGTAACCGAGAATGTTCCCTGTCGATACTACACTTGTACTGCGTGTGCTAAGACACTATGGGAACACAGTACAATCACGCTGTGCTAAGGTAGAGGAACGACTATCAAAGTATCATAACTTCCATAAGCAAGCAATGCCCATAGAGACGTTAACAACAACCCAAGGCTAAGACGGGCTGAACTCCCTGAGGTCACCCCCGGCCTGGTTAATCATTCCAGAGTACTCATGCAACTTCGGCACCCCAGGGGTCGAGAACTGACAAGTGAACTAATACCCGAGCGTTTGAGCGCGATCGGTCAGGGGCTCTCTTGTCAGACTTATTTGCGTAACACAGCGTGTGTCTTTTCAAGCAGAAAGGATCCCGGCCTGCAAGGTCGGGTCTTCCAGGTTATAAAACCTAGCGAATGTGGACAGTGAGGCCCAGCCGGCCACCTCACAAATATCCGCAATTGACACACCGCTGGACCATGCCCAAGATGAGGCAATGCCTCTGGTAGAGTGGGCCTGTACTCCAATGGGACATTGAAGGCCCAAGGAAAAGTACACTAGCGTGATAGCGTCTACTATCCATCTAAAGAGTCTTTGCTTCGTGACCAGATGCCCTTTGGTGCGGTTACCGAAGCTAACAAAGAGTTGTTCCGACCGTCTAAAAGGGGCAGAACGCTCAATGTAAATTCTTAGAGCTCTGACGGGGCATTTGTGGCGCGAGGTCGCACCTTCCGGGAGAGGGGAGTAATGTCAGGGTTATGTTCTGTTTGGTCTTATCACTTACATATGCTTTTTCGTAGAGATAACTCTCTGTCCTCTTCAGAGGGAGGAAGCGCAGAGAGCGTAATGACTTGTGCTCTGAATGGAGTGGAGAGCACCTTCGGTATATAACCATGCCTTGGTTTCAGGACGACCTTAGAGTCGTTAGGCCCGAATTCCAGGCAGGCAGGGCTAATGGAAAGCGCCTGCAGGTCCCCTATTCGCTTTACCGATGCTAGTGCCAGAAGCAGAGCAGTCTTCAGCGACAGTGACCGAATGTCGGTAGACTGTAGCAGTTCAAAAGGGGGCCCCTTCAGGGCCCTCAGCACAGTGGGCAGATCCCATGAAGGGACAGTTAGGGGGCGAGGTGGATTCAGCCTCCTGGTGCCCCTCAAGAAGCGGACAACCGCACTGTTTCTGCCCACCGATTGGCCCGCATTGGCAATAGGGGCATGAGAGGCTGCTATAGCCACTACATAAACTTTGAGAGTGGATGGGGAGTGTCCCTTATCCAGCAGCTCTTGCAGAAAGGACAACACCTTTGATAGATCGGAAGTAGGAGGGCCTTTGCCATTTAGACACCAAGCGGAGAAAATAGACCACTTAAGGTCGTAGAGGCGTCTCGTAGACGGGGCTCTAGCATCTGAAATTGTGTTTAAAACTCGCTCTGGGAGGCTTGAAGGCTCCCGTCGAGAGGCCAGAGGTGTAGGGCCCACAGAGGGTGCCGAGGCGCTCTACCAGAATTAAGAAGCGCTTTGAGGAGAGGCTTCCTTGGCGATTTATGTAGGACACCACCAACATGATGTCCGATCGGATTAGCATATGGTGCCCCTTTAGGACTGGCAGGAAGAACTGACAGGCTCGACACACTGCTAGCATCTCGAGGCAATTGATGTGGAAGCCTTTCTCCGCCTTTGACCAGTGGCTGAAGGTTGGTATGCCCTCGCACAGCGCCCCGCATCCTGTGTCGTGACAACTGTTCTCCTGCAAACCATTCCCATGGCCACGCCCTGTTCCATCCAGCGAGAGTTCGTCCAGGGGGCCAGGGCTGTTATACAGACCTGATTCACCCTGAAATGCAGGCATCCGTGACGCCACGCATGGAATGGAACACGCGGTGGCCATGAGGCCCAGCTTCCTCTGAAACGTTTTGAGAGGGCGAGTGGTACCGATCTCGAAGGAGGCCGGCAGTCTCCGTATGGCCAGAGCCCGTTCCGGCGCGACTACAGCTCTCATTTGAGCTGAGTCGAAAACTGTTCTCAGGAACGATATTTGCTGGCTGGGGAACAACGTGCTCTTGGTGAAATTGACCCTGAGTCCCAGGCGCTCTAGGTAGCTGAGGAGGAGGGTCCTGTGTGATACTAATTCTGCCTCCGACTGGGCCAGAATGAGCCAGTCGTCGAGGTAGTTGAGAATGCGGATTCCCATCTGTCTCAAAGGGGAGAGAGCCGCGTCCATGCACTTCGTAAAAGTGCGGGGGGCCATAGACAGCCCGAAGGGAAGGACCGTGTATTGATAAGCCACTCCCTCGAAAGCGAATCTCAAGAATCGCCTGTGACGGGG